CCCCACCACCAGTGCTCCATCCATCTCAACTGCGAGGGCACCCACCTCCTGCACCAGGCCTTCACGGAGGTGACCCACGGGCACCCCTCCAGCAGGTAGGAGCCTGCTCCAGCACACCCTGGTGCCACGGGGAAGGCGCAGGACAGACATGGCGCGTGGTGCTGAGGAAAGAGGTCTGGGGTGGATGGGTCCCCCTCTGCCTGCCCAGCTGGTGTGCCGCTCCCCCAGGCCCATGATCGAGCTCTGCATCCCCTCAGCGCTGGACCCAGGGCTGGCCCCACGGGGCTGCCATGTCGTGTCCCTCTTTACCCAGTACACCCCGTCTGTGCTGGCGGGTGGGCGGCACTGGGATGAGCAGGCCAGAAATGCATATGCAGACACAGGTACGTAATGCATACGTGGACCCAGATAACACCAGGACTGCTGGTCCCTTCCCATGGGCAGAGCCACCCTGGAGCTGCTCAGGGGCTGACCACCACGTCCCCCCGAGCTGCCCACCCGTCCCTTCATCCCTCCCTAGTGTTTGACTGCATCGAAGCCTATGCCCCGGGGTTCAAGGCATCCGTCATCGGCAGGGACATCCTGACGCCACCAGACCTGGAGAGGATCTTTGGGCTGCCGGGTGGGGTGGGTACCACATGGGCTCAGCTCTGAGCATCACTCCGGTGCCAGTGCTGGTGAGGGCACAGCCCCAGGCTGCTCACAGCCAGGTCACACAATATGAGCTCTGCTTGCAGAACATCTTCCATGGAGCGATGTCTCTGGACCAGCTGTACTTTGCCCGGCCAGTACCATCCTACTCAGGCTACCGGTCCCCAGTTCCTGGCTTGTACCTGTGTGGAAGCGGAGCCCACCCTGGTGAGTAGGTCTGGGAGCCAGGACCCTCCTGGGTGCATGGAAGAGGTACAAAGGCAGCACAAGGTGGGCTTTGCAGGGGTTCCACTCCCCTCTACCCTCACACGAGCACGGAGGTGGAGCATCTCCGCTGGTGCAACCCTGGGGCCAGAGCTCCCATCACTCCCTGTTTCTGGTCCCTTTCAGGAGGAGGAGTGATGGGAGCAGCAGGACGCAACGCCGCCCGTGTGGCCCTGGAGGACTTCAGACGCCTATGATGGCAGTGGTGACACCAACTTCACCCGCGCAGGGTTGTGGCTGCAGTGAGCTGTGTTGTCCCCACGCAGAGCCCTGCCCGTCCCCAACTTGCTTCCCAGGAACCACAGGGCAGCAGCATCCTCCACGAGCTGGGGGCTGCAGGGTGACAGGGTTCCTTGTGCTCCCAGCTGCCACTATCACCTTGAACGCATGGCTGCTCCCAGGCCACCCCGGGTTGGCCCCTGGGCCCGGGCCAGCCATGACAAACCTCGCTCAGGTGCACTGGTGGAAATAAATCCTGTCCCAGGCTCTGCCTTGAGCACTCTCGCTGTGATTTTTCAGCAATTCATGTGGCTCCTGACGTGCTGGCAGAGGGGCTGCACTGTGCCATCCGCACTGGGGCTGGTCATGCAGCCCCTGCTCCAGCTGCCAGAGGGGACAGGTGTGTCCCAGAGCAGTGAATGGGGACAATCAGCCCCTCACCCTCTCCTCTGCTTGCTGATGCAGGCTCCCGGTCCTGGCCTGGACCACCCCAAGGTGCCTAGAACAAGCAGGGAGCTGCTTGAGACCTGCTTTGCTGCCTGGAGCCCCCAAACCGTCCTCTGTCCCCCCGGCCCTTGGCGGACGTCTGTACAGACGA